GCTGACGGAAGGCTATTGTCTTTCAGTTTTGTAGTGTATATAAAGTTGAGTGATCCATTCAGTAAACTGCATTAAAATTTCACTTACAAGTTAATCGCATCTTAAATTTAGTTTCCAAATTTTTCTCTCACACTCCTCAACAAGCAAGTGGACTTTTAATAATATTTTTGAGTCAGCAATTTGCAAACTCTAACTAGGTAACTATTTTGCAGTATGAGGTTTTTCTGGTGTTTCATTTCTGTGTGCTAAACACAGAAATGTCTCTAGTTTAATACACTCACACAGGTTCCTATATTGTCCCAGGCTGTAATTTCAATCTCAGCCGAAATAATAGCTATCCCTTATTCTTGTCTATTTAAAACACAATTAAATGGTCAAATTCCAGTTCTCCGATGCTTCCAGCCTGCCTCATGACTCTACTCAGCACATAAAAAGCACAGTAGTCACAGGAGAAGACAACACCTTGTGAAGCAAGCCTATGTGGATTGAGGGAAGGAAGGAAGGGGGTGGTTTGGGAAGGTGGCAGGGTTATAGGAGGTAGCGAAGTAAAAACAAAAGCTTCAGTACGAACCTCATACTTCAAATACATCCCTACAGCACTGCTGTCTGCTGTGGGTAAAGTTTCAGCAGCAGCATTGTGGTAACCACTTCCAACGCTGGTGCCTCATCAGAAGGTTTGCAGTGTTCCCATGCCGCACAGTTTCACCCCATTTCCATCCCTCTGTAGCAATGTTTTCCCCTACTTCTCAACTGTGTTTTCACGAGGCTGTATAGGCTACGCCAGCAGACCTTCACTTTGACCTATTTCCTCACTCAAGTCCCTCAAGTCTTATTCCCTTCCCGATCTACAGACTAAAGGTTCCTACGTCAAGCATAGCTGCACAGCCCCTCCTCAAACTGTCGCTTGAGCCTCTGTTTAGCCCCATCATATCTCCTAACCTTGCTTTATTTTCTGATTCAGAATGTTGGCTCCAAATTTAAGCTCTGTCGTCTAGATACAATGGCCTAGGGACCTTTTCTGTATTTTAACCTGTTGAGAATTTATTCAAATCTTGTGGAAATCAAAGCTCCTGGTGTGGGATGGTGAAGAATCAACTAGGAACACTGTAGATCCAGAGATATGAGAAATCGAAGGAATATTATTTGGCTGGAGAGTAGTCTATGAGTAAATTTGGGCATTGTTGTGGTTATTTGATAGTTTCCATGAATCAAAACTGAATCTGACTTCACTTGATACTGTTTGCTGCAACAAATAGCCCATTTTGTGCAAATGCACTACAGTTATTACGGTCCAATATAAGTGCAAAAATTAGGAATATGTCAAGCAACAAAAAAGGCAGTGTAAAAAATTTTCTTATTTTATTTTGCTAGGCATTGTTTAAATAGGGAAATGAAGATTGGATAGAATTAGCACTATGGAAGTTAACTTCTGAGCTAAGCTGAACAGTCCTGCTAGGATTTCCTGATACACATCAAGGATATTAAATCTCTATTTAAAAAATATATTTTGATGTTTCAGATCTAATATTTTCTTGGATAAATAGCTCTTTCATGTGGTTAAAGTTGGTGAAAAAATTCTAGAAACCCTGACACAAGTTGTGGTTGTCTGAAACACGAAATCTAAACTCTGAAAGATAGTGGAAAAAATATGACATTTAGATCTCAAAATTTGTTTCCTTTCTGTGATTA